AAAAAAAAAAAAAAAAAAAAAAAATCCTTACACAATAAATAAATTGAGAATCTGTTAGATTCCCTCAATTTTTGGGGCGGGGGGACAGTACTGGGCCTTTGCACTGAAGTATATATCTTGAGTCTTCCTTCTTCTTCCCCCAAACTTTTTTTTTTTGGTACCAGGGATTGAACTCAGGCCCTTGTGCTTGTGAGGCAGGCGCTGGAACCACTGAGCTAACCCCCCACCCAAACTTTTTAATTTTGTGATGATCTTGCTAAAGCACTAGAGGTTACCGAGCTTGACTCTGCTGTCTCTTGCCTAGGCCTCCCAGAGTTGCCAGAAGGCACCACCGTGCTGGGCTTTTCCTTCTTTCCCTTCTGGTCCTGAGGATGAACCAGGGACTCTACACTGAGCTATAGGACCAGCCTGTTTTTTGTTTTGTTTTATTTTTTGGTGTTTTTTTTTTTTTTTTTTTTTTTTTTTTTTTTTGTTTTTTTTTTTTTTTTTTTTTTGGTACCGGGGATGAAACTCTGGATCTTGTGCTTACCAGGCAGGTGTCATGCTGCTGAGCTAAATCCCTGGCAGCCCTTTTTTATTTTATGAAAAAGGGTCTCAAGGGCTGGGGATTTAGCTCAGTGATTCTGCTGTCTGCCTCACAAGTGCAAGGACCTGAGTTTGATCCCTGGTACAAAAAAAAAAAAGAAAGAGAAAGAAGGGCCCGGGATTTAGCTCAGCGGTTCAGTGGCCTGCCTTGCAAGCACAAGGACCCGAGTTCAATCCCCGGTACCCCCGGTACCAAAAAAAAAGAAATGAAAAAAGGTCTCATTAAGTTACACAGTTGGACTTGAACTCATGATCTTCCTGCTTCAACTCAACCTCCCACAGTGCTGGAGTTACAGGTGTCTTCCCCAAAACCTGGCAAAAAGAATTTTTTTACACAACCAAACTAAGCACAATGATCGCTATAGGTATCCAGTCATGCTGCTATTCGACCCAAAAGCTGCTGCCATTAGCTATTTTTTTCAGATTTAGGGATAAAGCAGTCTCTACTCTCTAGGCAAAGGAACAGGGGCCCTAAAGGATTAAGTAGCATTTGCACTTCTTGGCAGGAGGAGTTGCTCGAAGCTTAAGTCATAGAATATGCCTTGGACTTGATGAGGCTTTCTGAAATAGTATTTCCTTCTTTTTGGTGCTGGGGATAGGATTCTGGATCTCATCTATCTAAGCTAAGCACATGCTCTACCACTGAGATGATACACTCTCAGCCCTCAAAAATATTCAGAATAATTTATTAGCATGTATGAGGCCCTAGGTTCAATCCCTAGCACACAAACACAAAAACAATTTCTAATGATGAAACTGCTATGTGCTCACTTCTAAAAAGCTGAAAATAGGGCTGGGGATTTAGCTCAGTGGTTGCTCCACCTGCCTGGCAAGCACAAGGTCCTGAGTTCAATCCCTGGTACCAAAAAAATAAAAATAAAAATAAATAAAAAAATAAAAGTATAAACAAGTTGGGTATGATGGCACAACCTGTAATCCCAGAATTCTGGGAGGCTGAGCCAGGAAGACTATAAATTCAAGCCCAGCCTGGGCAACTTAGTGACTTGGCAAGACAAGGTTTAAAATAAAAAATAAAAAGGGCCAGGGTTGTAGCTCAGGGCAAAACCTGGGTTCAATATCATCAACACCTCCCCAATATACATAAAGAAAATGAATCACTTCTAGTCCAAGCACCAAGGGGAAAATACACAGTTGATATCACAAAGTAATTTCTACTCCAGGGGCCTTCTGGGCATGTGCATGTACTCAGGTAGCTGATAACCACACTGAAAACAGTTCCTATTATTTCAACACATTATCCCATAAGTATTTCCAGTCTCAAACTTTGTCTATCTCTATTGTCACATAATTCTCTCAGGCCATTCCCAGTGACCTGGCTGGCTGAGCTCAGACTTCAGGTTGACCCCTGCCATGCATGATGCTGCATCCCTGAGGAGCACTTGCCGCCAGCCCTATGTTGCCGATCCTATCTGCTATCTCGCTCGGTGCCTGCATCCAGGGGACCCTCACGTGCAGCCATGCAGCTGCCCCACTGGGAGCCCCACTGTGGCACAGACCAGGGTGCTGCTGATAGGGATACCGGCAGGGCATCTCCATGGTTTCCACTAGCAACTTTCTGGGCCAATAATTCTTGTTGCAAGGCGTGTTCTGTGCACTAGAAGATGCCTTAGCGGCATCCCTGGCCTCTACACACTAGATGACAGGGTTGTCCCCCATAAATATCTCTAAACACTGTCAAACATCTTTGGAGACCAAAATTACCCAACTGAAAACCACCAGATTAAAGGGGGAGGGACAAATCCAAGCCCCAGGCTGTTAATACCAATCAAAACACATTGCAGATTAAAAACACAGGAACACACACAAATGCTCAGAGGAACAAGGAGCAAGGTAACCACAAGGATCACAGCACTGAGCTGGAGTGTCAGGCCTTGTCAACCACCACAGCACATAACCTCCTTGCCAGTCCACCTGCCAGCGACCTTCAAATCCCTGCCAATTGAGGCAGATCTTTTAGGTTAGGACAGGAGGAAAAGGCAAGGAGGCCTCTGCTGTGTGTTCTATAGCACCCTCCTCTACTGCAAGGTACCCTTTACCTGGGTGGTGGCAGCTGTTCTCACAACGTCCACCTCCTGGCTGAGCACATTTCCAAAGCAGGGAAGAAGCTATGCAAGTCACCCCCACAACCCCAGCACAGCCTCAGCCCAAAGCAGGAGTGACTTACCAGTGTCCTGGCGGAATTGGGTCCAACTGGGAAGGTCAATGATGTACGGGGCCAGTGAGGGGTCAGCCTGGCCTAAGGGGATGCTGTGTGCCAGGCTGCCCAGCCCAAAGCGCTGGCCTTTCTGCTGGACAAACTGCTGCTCGATGTAGCTGCACACAGTGGCACTGTAGGGGTGCCAGCTGCCCAGCCCATCCTGCCACTCCCACACAGCTACTGCCACAGGGCTGGGGTACACCTGTGCCAGGGAAGGGCCTGGGGCCATGGCCATCTTCCCCCAGACTCCCTCTGCTTTCCCAGATGGTTTCACACTACTCTTGGCTGCAGCCTTGGGTTCATCGCCCGACGTGTCCTGTAGACCTGGAAACAAGACCGACATAGCAGTTACTGAGCACATCGAGGCCCTGGTGTATAGCCTGAGGAGGGAAAATAAAAGCCTGGCTTTTCCTAATGCCTGGAAAGCATTGTGAACCAGATCTAGGATCTCAGCTCTTTGCTCTGGCAGCCAGAAAGGACTCCAATTGAGTCCTGCAGCTTGCCTGCCTCCGCAAGCGTTCAGGGAGATGCAGCAGGGTAGATCAGGGATGCTAACCATTAGCCCAGCGTCTATCTATCTTGGTGCCAATGTCTGCCCTCCAACACAACTATTTCCTTTATCCTTTCATACTGTCTACTCTGCAGTCCTACACATCCTTGTGCGGGTAAGGTCACGATGACCCTTATTTTCACACGAGGAGTCCAAGTTCCCAAACGCAGTTTGTTTGTGGGCTGCAGATTAATACCTACTGTGCACAGATGAGGAAACACTGTGTGTCAGGAGGGACCAGGACCTCTGGGACCCAAAGGGGCAGTGGCAGAGCTGGGACTCTAAGCACAGGTTTTGTTCTTCCACAAGTCCAGGGTAACCCAGAAGCATCTCTGACCACAAAGGAAGCCCAGGACTGACATTAGATGCCCCTTTAAAGCTAGGCATGGTGGCACACACCTGTAATCCCAGAACTCAGGAAGCTGAAGCTGGAAGATGGCAAGTTTGAGCTCAGCCTGGGCAATTTATCAAGACCCTCTCTGCTGGGCATGATGGTACATGCCCCCAATCCTAGTACCTAGGAGGCTGACGCAAGGGGACTGCTGTATGAGGCCAGCCTGTACTACAGGGCAGCTTGAACTACACAGCAAGACTTTGTCAAAAAACTAACAAATAAACAAGAAAAAGCAGCAGCCCTCTCCCTCTACTGTCCAGACCTCTGACTATATACATGCATGTGCGTGACACAGATGGATGTGAAGCCAGGGCCTGTCTTCCCACCTCATGAGACGGTTGCAGCCCAGCCAGCCTGCCCATTCACAGCTGTGACTGGTGTACAGCAGCAGCCAGGCCTACGTGTGCTCAGTGTTCTATTCACACTGGCTCAGAACACAGCTGGGTGGCTGTGGGTGATGACACCTTGACAGGCGGGTAGCCAGCCCGGCCCCTGGAGGTCTGCCAGCCCACTATCAGGAGGAGGCCCCGGAGCACAGGCTCCTGGAGTGTGCGACAAACACCAAACATACTTACCTGTTCTAAGCTTTGCACACTAACAAGGTGGGCACTTCTCCCATCTCGATGAAGTGAAGGGACTTAACTAAAGATCACACATGAGCCAGGTGTGGTGGCACACACCTGTTAATACCAGCACTCGGGAGACTTGAGGTGGGAGGATCACTGCAAGTTAGAGACCAACTTGGGCTACATAGTAAGTTCAACTCCAGCCTGAATTATATGGAGACATCCTGTCTCAAAAAAAAAAAAAAAAAAAAAAAAAGTAACACATGTACTAAGTGGTCATGTAGAAAGCAAATAGAGATCAAATGGCTCTTGGGCCCAGGTGCTTTGGCAGACTCAGAAAAGTTGGGTGTGGTGATACATGCCTATAATCCCACCACTTGGGAGGCTGAGGCAGGAGGATTCCAAGTTCAAGGCCAGTCTGAACTATGTAGTAAGTAAGATCCTGTCTAAAAGGATCTCAGGCCGATGGATGCTAGCACTGCCTGGGTGCTGACTTGGGGCAAAGTGCCCATCCATTACCTCATCTCCCCCTGGTTGTCACACTGGCCTGCGGCTCCTATGCCTGACTCCTGCCTGACCCGTCCAGCTCTTCCGGCCGCCAACCCCTCGTCTCTTTCTGGGGTCTCCTCACAGTGTTAACTGGACATGTAAATAGTTACGGCCCCACGCGCCCACCCCACTCGTGTAATGCATCTGTCCAGCCGAAGCACAATGCCCCGCAGGCATCTGGCTTCTTGTGCACCTTTAATAAAACAAGCTGTCAAATCATCTCCAGCTCCTGATTTCAAGATGGGCTGAGGATGGGGGAAGCCAGGGTACCCACCGTGACTCTGGGCCAACTGCATGCTTCAGGCCAGATCCCTGGACCAAAATGGTCCCGTGGGGAGTTCTGAGAGCAGACAGCTCAGTGGCCCACCTGGGCAACAGTCTGAACTATGTAGTAAGTAAGATCCTGTCTAAAAGGGTGGAGGGGCCTCAGCGTGAACTCCCTCAGGCTCCTGTTTAGAGGAACAAGAAGGAAGAGGGGCCCATATCCAAGCAGTCACAGCTTTCCCATGCAAGACACTGAGCCAATAGGGTCCTCGTCACACAATTACAACGACATGCTCGTAGGCTTGTGGCTAGCAACAAGGCTTCCACTGATGGCCATACTGCCTACGAGGCTTCAATGTGAAGGCCACAGCCACGGCCCTAGAAGGGAGGAGAGTCTGGAGCAGCTGAGGAGAGGAGGAGGTGAGGGCCTGGCATTAACATGCTTCGTACTCACCATGCCACCTCAACAAGGGTGCCCAGGCTCTCCCAGCTTACTTGTTTTCATTTGGAAAGCAGAGACATCAACCTTTATCCCAAGCGCTTTCATGGGGACTGAGACTACACAGTGCCAGGCCTACCACAGCCAGCCAGCCAGCCCAGAAGTCCCGGCCTCACCCTGCACCCTTGCCCTGTACCCATCCACCATGCCAGTATGGGTGAGGGGTGGTACAAAGGGCACTAATGAGGACACCACATGCAAACACAGGAGGAGTATCAGCTCTGCTATGAGCTGCCGAGGCCTCTTTTAGCACCTAGAGCTGCCCGGGAGGATGAGGTGTGGGTGCCCAGGATGGCTGGCTGAGCTCAGCTCCTGCAATCAGCAGCCTCTGCAACCACATGGAGGTGCGAATCAGAGGCCTGGTTTCTGGGCCAATACTCCTGAGGTACCGCTCACCCCTCAGGCGGCTGAGGCCTCGAGTATCGTCACTCTCCAGAGTATCCCAGCATGTCACCCACTGCCAGGTGAACCAACACCAGAACCTTGCGAAGCAGCCTGGGACACAGTCAAGCCCTTTGGCTCAAGCTTTCCAGGAAGGTGTGAGGCACACAGCCCAGGGTGAAGCAGGGTCCAGACCCCGTGGGAGAAATGGAGATCCAAGAAGAGGGTGACGATGTCAGACAGTGTGGTGGCCAGATGCTTGCTATCCTGTTCAAAAACTTGGAAAGGACAACTGATGAACACGAACATTTAATGTTTACTTAGGGCAAAAGAAGAAAAAAAAAGAAACACAAAAGTGCTCAAGAAAAAAAGGTGCTCTGAAGGAAAAACACAAGATAGTGGCTGGTGAAAAGGCTCACAGTGCCACACTGTCTTTTATATTCCCCATTCCAACATGAGATCTAGGCTGTCCTAATCAAAGACCTGCTTCTGGCACAAGATCAAGCAGACGCAGAACAGCCTAGATCTCATGTTGCAACGGGGGATATAAAAGATAGTGGTGTACACCTAATAATCCCAGCACTTTGGAGGCTGAGGCAGGAGGATTGCTGCAAGTTTAAGGCCAGCCTGGACTACATAGTGAGTTCAAGGCCAATCTAGAATATACAGCAAGACGCTATTTCAAAAAGAAAAGAAGGGAAGGGAAAGGGAGGGGAAGAGAAGGGGGAGGGGGAAGGGGAGGAAGAGGTAAGGGTGCTCCTTCAGGGCACTTTTTCTTGAGCATTTCTTTTTCTTCTTTGTGCACTAAGTAAACATTTAACTTCCACATCCATTGACTGTCCTGGCCAATCCTTTGAACCGGACAGCAACAACCTAGAAAGGCCCTCTGGTCACACCAATACTGTAACAAGAAGGCACACAAACCCCCATGATGGCCCATCTCCACCGACACCAAGTCCCTCTCCTTCTGGAACCTGACGAGTCCCAGGTCTTTCCAAGCAATTTCCTACCCAATCTGAGCCACTGATCCTGTGGTGCCAAGTCCAGACTTCACACCAGCCCCAAGCAAGCATGCCCACCCTTCGGATACAGCCAGGATGTCCTCCTCCCGAGCCCTCTGGCCAACACTGGCACAGTGGGGAAACTACCCTGTCACTTCACTAGAAGCCATATCCTGGGCCACCCACTGCATGCACTGGATCCAGTCCACACTTGTCCAGGGTCTCCCTGAGGGCAGAGCAGGAGCTGTCACCAAGCTGGAGCTGCAGCTCGCTCTTCAAATGCTCAGCATCATACAAGGAAGGATGGGAGAAGGGGTGAGGGCTTTCAGGGTGGCCCCTGGGCATGCTCACTTGCCCGCCACAAAGCAATCATGCTGCCAAAGTCAGGGAACCAGCTCTCGGCACCAGCCTCAGCCAGCATGAAGCTGCAGCTCTAAGATCTAATTTGTTTCAGTGCCTAATGATGGGAGTTATTTACAGTGTTCTTAATTATGAAAAAAAAATTTTTTTTTTTTGGTACCGGGGATTGAACTTGGGTCCTTGCGCTTGCGAAGCAGGCACCGGAACCACTAAGCTAAATCCCAGGCCCTGAAAATTATTATTATAAATGATTATAGAAAAAAGCTACAATCTGAAGGCAAGTTAAACACCCTATAATACAGGAATTCTGTGGGGTTTGCTTTTTTGTTTCTGGTTTGTTTTGCTAGGGGTGGAACACAGTATTTCATATATGCTATATACATGCTCCACTACTGAGTTACACAACCCAGCTCCAATATGTCTTTTCCCTTGTTTCGTGGCAACAAAGTCTGACTATATAACCCAGGCTAGTATTAAACTCATGATCCTCCTGCCTTAGCCTACAAGTGCTGAGATTATAGATGTACATGTATGGTTCAATATGCCTTCTGTTTCTTAGTTTTCATGGTACTGGGGACTGAACACACAGCCTTTATCCCAGATTTTTCTTCTTTATTTTTGAGACAGAGTCTTACTATGCAGTTCAGGATGGCCTTGAACTTGTGGCGATCCTCCTGCCTCAGCCTCCCAAGTGCTGGAATTACAGACCTACACCATCACGCCAGCCTTTTTTTTTTTTTTTAGGTTGCTAAATTGCCCT